GACCGTCTTACCACCCACTCTCCCTCTGTCCCCACCTCCACCCACTAAAACAGCTTCGGGGTTTGGCTTCTCCTTTCAAACTCCAGGATTTCCTTTCTTAGCTTCATCCACCCCTAAAAGCCACCCAACAGCAAATGCTAATATTATATGTGGTTGCCCACGACCATCTGATCTATGTGAAAGGACAGAAATATGTCCAGAATATGGGGCTGAGGGGAGGGAAGAGTCAGGATGACCCACGTTTCCAGACCTGTCTTAGATATTTAGAAAACAGTGGGTCTCTGAATACTCCCCTCTCCCCTCCACCACCTCCACACAGAAATGTCCTTCTTTCACATGGACGTCAGTAACTCAGCGTGATGTAGCTGTTCTATATTTAAGGTTAATCTAGAAGTGTGTTGTCTCTGAAAAATTTATGTACCAGATTTCCTCAGAGATTACAATCGAGATAAACATCCTCAACTGAGCCCTCTCAGGGGCTGCAGGGAAGATGGGGTGGGTGTACTGCGGCGAGAGTGCGGGACGGCGGTGTTCCCTCTTAACTATACATGGGTTGGTATGTTTTTTGGTACATTTTTCTGCCCTCCAACCCCCCTTCCAGGTGACTCTGATGGAGACAAGCAACAAGAGCTAATCCTTGTTCGGTGGTGATCTCCCTCTCCCTACACACACACACACACACACACACACACACACACACACACACACACACTCCATCCATGTCTTAGGACTGCAGTTACATGAATCATGAATGTTGCCCCACCCACCAGGAAAAGCTACAAGTTTGAACAGCTCCAGCCCCGTAATGAAAGGCCTTTGTAGGAGGCATTACGTCTTGCTGAACAGAAGCAGTTTGAAACCGGTCCCACCAGTGTGACTAGGAGACTGACTCAATCTTCTCATAGGTTTCTTCAAGTGTGGCAGACACAAACAGCCCAGTTTCCTTTAAGGAGTCACAGGAAAGGTCAGCCTACTCAAGTGGCAGGGGGACAACACCACTGGAAACCGTCAGACGTGTGGACAGATAAGCATAATGTACAGGGAAAATGCCATGATAGAGGTTTGTAAAAATGATGGGGGTGAAAGATGAGCAGGAAAGGCTTCCCAGTGGAGGTGACATTTAAGTTGAAGTGAGAGGGAGAACTTGCCAGAGGGAAGGTTTAAGAAGATGAACCTTTGAAAAATGTCTTAAATATTATAAAACTCCATTTAAGAAAATTTCCAAAGTCTTAACAATATGGAATATTTATTAGGATAGAAAAGAAAAATCTTAGATATTTGAATATATCTCATAGAGATTAAGAAGAAACTTTTAATGAAAACTGTGACAACATATTTCTGACTGGTACTTCAATATCCTGTTTAAGCTTTATAACTGCCTGAATTAAAACAAAGTTATTCAGAAATTATAAAACAAAGCATCTAAAACAATGGCTTCTCTGTCTGAAAAGCAAGGTATTGCACAAATATAGCTGAGCTTATATGCAAAGATTTCAGGCATTCGAATAATGCTTAAATTCTCTCTTTTATTCACAAGCTTATTCATAGTTATGGGGGAACAGGGACTAGAGGAGTAAATATAATTCAGAAAAAACACTTAATAATTAAAAGTTGATGGCAGTGCTACCATTTGATCCAGCAATTCCATTTCTAGTTATATACCTAAAAGAAGTAAAGCATCCATATAGAAAGACTTATACACAGTTGTTCATAGCAGCATTACTTACAGTAGCCAAAATGTGGAAACTACCCAAATGGCCATCAACTGATGAGTGGATAGATAAAATGTGGCCTATGCACACTGTGGAATATTATTTGGCAATAAAAAGGGAAGCCTTGATATATGCTATAAAACAGGTGAACTAAAGGCCACATACTGTATAATTCCATTTATATGAAAAGTCTGGAATAGGCAAATTTATAGAGAAATAAAATAGATTAGTGGTTGTGCAGGGCTGGAATTGAGGGGGAGTGGAATGGGGAGTGATTGCTAATAGACAGGGGGTTTCTTTTGTGGGTGATGAAAATGTTCTAAACTTAAACTGTGGTGGTGGTTGCACAACTCTGTGAATGTACTAAAACCAGGGGTCCCCAACCCCTGGGTCATCAACCGGTACCAGTCCACGGCCTGTTAGGAAGCAGGCCGCACAGCAGGAGGTGAGTGGAGGGCAAGTGAGCGAAGCTTCATCTGCCGCTCCCCATTGCTCCCCATCGCTCACATTACTGCCTGAAACACCACCCCCCCAACCCTGGAAAAACTGTCTTCCACGAAACCGGTCCCTGGTGCCAAAAAGCTTGGGGACCCCTCCTAAAACCATTGAACTGTGTCCTTTAAATGCATGAATTTTATGTATGTGAATTACATCTCAATAAAGATACTTTAAAATTTTATTGCATTAACTTTAGGCTAAAAATGAAAATAAGTTGGGCTTTTAGGTTGGGTTAAAATCAAGCACAGCTCAAACTGGATGAGACCATCTGCACATGGTGTCTTCAGCTGTCAGTAAGAGGGAAGAAATGGCTGACCAAAAGAGATGGCAGGAAGTCATGTAAGAAAGACTTCATCCAGACTGTGGGGAATGACCTGATTGATGTTCAACAACAAAAACCACCACTACAAATTAAAGATCCTGGTTTCAGGATGCCAAACCCAGAGACCAGAAATTGACATACAACTTCCCCCGAAATTAGTAGCCCAGAACATGTAATAGCAGCTTCATGGGACTATGAAATACATATAACTCTGCAGAAACACAGCTGCTGTCAAACAAAGCAGCGTAATTTCACTTAACAGGTTAGTTCCATATCCTTCTCCCACAGAAAGAAGAATTCAGGTGCCAGACAGTGAATGAAGTTTCCAGTGAAAAAATGTCAGGCCTAATGTTGATGAGCCTCAAAATATACCACAAGATCACTAATGACCTCCAGTGGTTACAACTAAAATTGCTCGGTTTGTGATACATGAGACTAGAACAGGATGGCCCACAAAGCAATTATGGATAAAGGGTTTGGTCTCTTATTTTCTTATCTTGAAAGCTGCAAAATTGAAGTCAAAGGAAGCCTACCCAATGACTACCATAAAAATCTCCCTTCCTCCTGATTTTTTTTTTTAATATACATTTATTTATTTATTTATTTTTGGCTGTGTTGGGTCTTTGTTGCTGTGCGCGGGCTTTTCTCTAGTTGCGGCGAGTAAGGGCTACTCTTCAATGCGGTGCGTGGGTTTCTCATTGCGGTGGCTTCTCTTGTTGCAGAGCACAGGCTCTAGGCACGCGGGCTTCAGTAGTTGTGGCACGTGGGCTCAGTAGCTGTGGCTTGTGGGCTGTGGAGTGCAGGCTTGGTAGTTGTGGTGCACGGGCTTAGTTGCTCTGTGGCATGTGGAATCTTCCCGGACCAGGGCTCAAACCCATGTCCCCTGCATTGGCAGGCGGATTCTTAACCACTGCTCCACCAGGGAAGTCCCCTCCTGATTTTTAAGCATTGACTGAAGAGCCTCTTTTCTGTGGCCTGTCTTTGCAGATTCTTTTGACATGCCTGGAAGATGGCTGTCTCCCTCCAGTGACTTGGTGACTCCATCAGGGATAATCCACTAGGAGCCCCACGGATGCAGAGAAAGCGGACGATGGAGAAGGTGCGTTCGTAGGTAGGAGAGATGAAATGACTGTGTGAAAGTGTAAGAAAGACTGAGAGAAGCAGGTATTGTAAACTAAAATTACCCAATTTGGTCTTGCACAACTCTTGACACTTTTTGGTGAATATCTAAGAAGTTTGAGGGTTAGCCTGTCCCCCAAGCCCCACCACCAGGTTGTAGTGAAAGCAGCCCCAAATGAGGCCCTACCTGGAGTTTCACTGAACAAACTTTAGTAAATAAGCCCAAACCACTTCATACAGCCTCCTCTGTAGGCCTGACAAAATCCCAGCTCTCTGCCCTTTGGGTGAAAGATTCATTCAACTGAGAAAAAACAATGTTCCATAAACAGGATTCTACTACTATCCTTTTTTGTTGGCCTCAGGCTACCAGAAAACCCCCAGTCAGACAGGGCCATGTTTTGGAGATGAAACCATCCTTAATAAGCACCAACTGGCCTGGCTGGATTCTTCAGACAGGTCCAGGCATGCCGGAGGGCTCTCTGGAATATTTTGGTCAGTCCACATATCCTGAATACCTTTAATTTCACGAAAGACAGGCCATTTCTAGCATTCAACCAGCATGTTAACAAGCCACTAGTTGCTCTGATAATAACTAATATCTAATATTTGCTATGCTAATTAGCAAAGTGTCTGGTAATAACTAAAACACTGTGACCTTTCCAATACAGTGCTAGCTAATCAACCCTAGAGTACTAACTCTTGATCAGAACACTAGCTGCCCCTGGGTGTAATTTCAACTAACACTTTCCCATGTCACACCAGCCATGCTGGAGTATTTTGAAATAAATTACAGATATAATAGGACGCAAGGGAAAGAATAAGAAGAACCAGGACTTAACGGCAATCAGTGACCACTGCCATATGAGTCTTGCCCATATTCCTAAATGCTGCTGCCACTGTCATTTCTCAGACATTTTTTGGATCCATTCATTCATGTAACAAATATTTCGGAGTACCTACTTCAAATATCTTATCTGTCTGAGAGTTCCAAGGAGAATTTAATATACTAAGAGAATGTTAAAAATTCATTGGCTGGGGCTTCCCTGGTGGCTCAGTGGTTGAGAGTCCGCCTGCCGATGCAGGGGACACGGGTTCGTGCCCTGGTCTGGGAAGATCCCACATGCCGCGGAGCGGCTGGGTCTGTGAGCCATGGCTGCTGAGCCTGTGCGTCCGGAGCCTGTGCTCTGCAACGGGAGGGGCCGCAACGGTGAGAGGCCCTCGTACCACACACACACAAAAAAAATCAGTTGCTTTTTTTCTGTAGAAAAAAAGAAACTCTTAAAAGTTATATGAACATTTTATGATATTTTATTTTCTTTAAGATAATTACATCATTAGGCTACATTTACCTTAATTGTAATTTAGTGCATCATAAAAAAATCGTGAATAAGAATTCTTGATGTTGCTTGTTAGTCCAGAGGTCAAATCAATGACTTATAAGAGCAACTCTTTCCTGAAAGAGCGATAAGGGAGAGAAAATGACATTTTCCTTTACAGTTCAATAGGTTCTTAGTTGCTAAGCAATCCATAGGCAACCTAACAACCTCACAGCTAATACTTGCATTGCACGTTACAGTTCACAAAGCACTTTCACATATGTAGTAAGGGTCTCTCCCTTCAGCTTAAACTCTTTTTATCTAGGGATGCAGGCAAGCCCAGGCTTGTTGGGTGGGCTGGTGGGAAAGGCTGGCAGGGATGTAATTGCAGAGGGGCTCAAGGAGGGCCCAAAGAGGTAATGGATCCTCACTATTGTTTCCACCTAAGCTAATGTGGTCCGGGAAACAGATCCCAAACATTTCATCTTGAAAACACATACTGGCTACTTGCTTAATTGTGAAAACAGGGCCATGTGAAGTAGTCCTACCTCTTCATAGCATCCACCAAAAGGAAAGTTAGTAAATTTTGCTGAAGAGCCATTGTTAGGAGTGTCTCCATGAAAGACATACACCAGGACCAGCGTCCCCCCAAACCAGGACTTCAGTCCAGCTTGGCTCAGAGGACATATATAAACCCACTGTCTTTATTACTAGTCAGGCTTTGGTCCCAGCCCATCTGGTCTCCGTCCCTTGTGAATGCGCCTGGACCACGCAGGAGCTCTGAGGACCCAGGCAGCCCCCTTTTCCATGAAGGTCTGGCAGAGCTGCCTGGGCCATTCCAGTGACTACTTCCTGCGTTATCTTTCAAAGGAGGGGCATCCCCTGGCCCCAGGGAACCATGCAGTTGGCACAAGAGGGAAGAGAGAATTAAAGAAACACATATCAACACTCTCCACACCAAAATACCACCAAAGCACCCTCTCTTGTCTCCTCCCCCTTACAGCAACCAGGGTGTGTCCTGGAGGTTTCTGTTTCACCTCTGGAGGTGCTGACAGGGCAAAAGTGGGAGCAGCTCTTGTACCTCCCATAAGATTGGAGTCGTGGACTGTGGTGAGGAGAGACCATCTTTGGGGTAGGTTTATTTTTGTTTAAAGTGACTCAAAAACTAAGTTCTTTACAAGTATTTATTTTATTTTAAATACGGCAACATGAGACCCAATATATCACAGTAAAATTCACCTTAGAAAGCTTGTCTTATTCTAGAGTATGTGACTCACCTGTCAATTTAATGACTTGTTGCTAAAAGGTGTCCAGGCACTGAATCTTGTGTGGAAGCTCTCCATTTCCAAGCTTTCCCTGGGAGAATTCCCAGCTGACATCTCAGCAAATTATTTTCGTCCACACCTAGAACATCCAGTATATTAATGTTGTCCATATAGGAATAATAGAATTACAGCAATTCATTTACATATATTTGTTTATATAGATACAATTAGAGCAATTCATATATATATATCCATACAAATATACACAGAGAGTTCATGAACTCTAAATCATTGCGATTATTCTCTCCTCAACTACCTGGACCCAAATGTGAATCCAAACCAGAGCTGTTTTTTACTTTGCTGGCAAAATGACTCAGAAATTGGAATGATTCTTTATCAGCCATGAATACTGAATTTTTCTTTCTCTGGCAAGCAAGAATCTGAAGGGCTCAAAGAGGGCGCCCCCACCCCCATCCCAGTGCCTAGCTTTTGAGGACATAAGTCAAAGAGGATATAGAAGAAAAAGTTAGGCTAATATATTAATGATTTATTGCTGCATAGCAAATTACCCTAAAACTTAACAGCTCAAAACAACAAACTCTTCTTATTATCTCAAAGTTCCTGAGGGTCGGGAATCCAGGCACAATCTAGTAGGGTACAGTATTGTTAGTCTACTAGGGCTGCCATTACAAAACACCACAGACTGGGCGGCCTGAACAACAGAAATTTGTTTTCTCACAGTTCTGGAGGCCGAAAGTCCAAGATCAGCATTGTTGTTTCTGGTGAGGCCTCACTTCCTATCGTGCAGGCAGCAGTCTTCCTGCTGTGTTCTCACAAGGCCTTCATTCTGAGCACACACGGGGTGGGGTGCAGGAGGTGCTCTGGTATCTCTTCTTCTTCTTCTTATAAGGATACCAGTCCTATTGGATTAAGGCCCCCAACCCTATAACCTCATTTAACTTTTATTACTTCTTTATAGGCTCCACTTCCAAATGTAGTCACATCGGGGGTGGGGGCTTCAACATACGGATCTAGGGGTGGGGGGACACAATTCAGTACATACCAGGTACCTCTCCTTCAAAATCTCCCATAGGCTGCTATCATTGTGTTGGCCAGGACTCCAGCCCCATCTGAAGGATCTGAAGCTCATTCATGTGGCTGTGACCAGGATTCAGTTGCTCGTGGACTGTTGGGTGGAGGAATCCTTTGCTTTCCTTGCCAGATGGGCCTCTCCATAGGGCAGTTCACATGGCAGCTGGCTTCCATCAGAGGAAGCAAATGAAAAAGCAAGAGAGGGCACACAAGAGGGAAGCCACAGTCTCTTTGTAACCTAACCTCAGAATTGGTATCCCATCACTTTTGCTCTGTTCTATTAGGTAAAAGCAAGTCACTACGTCTGGCCCATACTCCAGGGGAGAGGATTACACAAGAGCACAGATAGTAATACAATCTACCACAGTTCACTCTTTGGATCAGTTCCCTTCCTTTCCTACATGCAGAACACACTCATCCACGCCTTAAAGCAGACAGCCCCAAAGTTCGATCTCATCAGTATTTTGAGCTTAGATCCCAGGAGATAGAAATGATTCATAACAGCCTCTACAGACCCAGATATACCTACTCTTGATCTAGAGAACTCTGAACTAAAAAGAGAAGCTATCTGGTACCAGCTCCTACACACAATATATATAATGGTAGAACAGGAAAAGGTTAACTACAATAAATATTCCCATTTGTAAAGGAGAAGAACGATATATAAAAGAGTTAATCCGTAGCAGTTCTGAGATCCTGCTGTAGAAGGCTGGAACCCAGTTATCATTTTTAGTCTCAAACAATCACATTCTCTTTTATACCGTGTAGGTAACTCCTTTGACAAAATGGCTTTCTCAATATCTATCTCAAGTTATTTGATTCCAGGCAGTGCTATGTGCCACAATTGTTTAGAGACTTGTCTCTCTCTCTCTCTCTCAATTTAATTGCAAGTAGTTTGAGCCTATCAGACTTTCCTTAGGAAGAGCCAAACCCTAAGTCTCCCCTCTTTGAGATATTTTCCCAGCGTGAAGGTATTTGCTGGGTACCACCTTATTCCATTCAGAGATCCTAACAATGGTGTGACAACCATACTCTTCCTGACTTGGTCTTTGCCGCTAGGCAGAGTTTTAAGCAGACTTTTTTGCTCAAAGGACTTCTCTGTTGCTTCTTAACTAGTTGAACATGTGAATCAGCTGCACCTTCCAAGCTTGCAAAACCCTGAGTTTTTTGGTTGTCTCTGATTTCCTTTTCATTCCTGCTTGCAAACCAGCCAAATATTTTCTGAGCTCCTTTAATTCTTGTAGTACCTTGGCAAATGCAGCCAGTAGAAATGAACACATTCTAATAACAGTCATTTTCCACCTCTTTGTATAAAGTACAAGCTCATTAGGTATGTAATATGCCTTTTAGCTATTCTAGACTATACTTTTATACATTTTTTTGGTAACATGGATTGCTGACTGTCCAAGTCTCCAATAACAATTTCATGCTGCCAGACTGGATGTTAATGTCACATAATTTGGAATGTATTGATGTTGGTATGGCAGCACCTTACTCCTGGAACCAATATTTGTATCTACCAAACATTTAAGGAAGAAATAACAAACTTATTCCAGAGAATAGAAAAAGTGGTAATTATTTCCAGGTCCTTCTATGAAGTCAGCATAACCTTAACACCAAAACCCAACAAGAACCTTATAAGAGAGGAATATTATAGGTTTATTACCATAAACATAGGTCCAAAAATCCTAGTCAAAATATTAGAACACCAAACCCAGCAATGTATTAAAAATGTTAATATATCACCAGCAAGTTGGAATGTAAATTTGATTTGATATTACAAAATCAATGCACTTCTCATCATTAATAAAACAAAGGAGAAAATCATGAAAATCTCAGTAGATACAAAAAGTGCATTTGATAAGATTCAACTCCCATTCATAACAAAAAAAACTTACCAACCTAGAACTAGAAGAAACTTCCTAATCCAAATTAGGACATATTATAAGAAACTAGCAAACATTAAACTTAATAGTAAAATGTTGAAACTTTCCTTATAATTGCCACTACCATCTTTATTCAATATTGTTCTGGAATTCTGTCCAATGTAATAAAGCAAGAAAATTAAATTATAATCATTGAAAAGGAAAAAACTGTCATTATTTATTAGTGGCATAATTATATGTAGAAAATACTGAAGAATTTACAGGTAAATTGTCAGATTTAACGCATGTTTAGGAAGGTTGCTATACACAAGGTCAACATAAAAAAATCTGTATTTCTGTATACTAACAACAAATTTTTATTAAAAAACAGTATGTCATTTATAATAACTTTTAAAAATCCAATTTAAATCAGAGGTACAAATGTTCCACATAGAATACTAAAAATTTTATCAAGAGAAATTTTTAAAGATCTAAGTAACAGTAATGTCTATATAGATGTTTAGTTGTACCAAATTAATCTATTAATCAAAACCCAGCAGTGGGGTGGGGTGTTTGTGTGCACGTGTGTGTGTGTGTGTGTGTGTGTGTGTGTGTGTGTGTTTGACAAACTAATTATGAAATGTGTATGAAAATGCAAAGGGTCAAGAACAGCAAAGACAACTTTAAAAAGAATAAAGTAATAAGACTTACTCTACATGGTATCAGGACTTATTTACTATAAAGTTAGTGTAAATAGAGCATGAGATATTGGCATAAGAATAGACAAATAAACCAGTTGAGTCCAGAAACAGACTCGCAAATATATCTCACTAGATTTATGACACTAGTGGCACTGCAGAATAGTAGGAAAGGAAGATTCTAGTCAGCAACACATGGAATAGAACCACTGCATTCCGTTGGGCCCAGCTGATCCTCAGAATCATAACAGTAAAAGATTGTTTTAAGCCACTAGAGTTTGGAGCATTTTGTCATTCAGCAATAAAAACTGATAGAAAAAATTCATACCTGGAAGTAGAGTATTGCCATAACATAACTTAAAGCATATGGCAATGATGTCGAAAAAGAGCAGCAAGTGGAAATTGGAAGGGTGGTGAGGAGACTGTCAGTGGAGCCTAGAAGAACAGTGAAGTTGCTAAGAAAGGCTAGAAAAAGGATCACCTGTGTTATGTAGCAGTGGAATGTTTAGTAACACTGTTGCCTGCATTAATGTGGACAATAGGAAATCTACCAAGGAATGTGCAGACCCGGCTAAAGAGATTCCAAGCAGGATATAGAAAGTTCTGACTGGCTTCTTAGCTGAATATGATACAATAAGAGAGACATGAACTGACCTGAAAATCTAGTTTTTTAGCAGAATCTAGCAGAAATAAAGAACATCTAGTACAGTATCTCCAGCCAGCAAAAAGTCTCAAAGTAATAAATGGCTTCATTTCAAAGACCTCCTTGATAAGGTCTTTGAAAGGTTTAAGGTGGTGTGTCTCATAGACCCTCTCATTTAGAAAATAAAAGAGTTCTAAGAGTCTTAGAGACTTTGTCCCACAGCACCCTGATTCATATCCCAAGGCAGCCAGGGGCCTATCTCAAAGGGATTTGTGGATGCAGCCTTTGTTGAAGAGAATGGATTATAATAAGATACACAGAAAACCCACAAAATTGTCAAGAAGATTGTTCTGGTGAAAGCATGACCAGCTTGAAATAAAAGGGACTGAGAAGGCCTGAAATAGTCTCTGAGCCTCCAACTTTCTACAGGTAAGAAGCAGGCTGAGAAAGCTTTGCAACTGCAACCACAGATAATTTCTTATTGAGAAAGATGGGTGACGCAGAGGACAGAGCGAAGAGTCAGTAGTGCAGAGCCAAGAGAAGCTGAGATCAATGGATCAGGAGATTACTCCCAGGGAGTAGACCTGGACCATAATCAAGGAATCATCAGGACAACTGGTCTGGCTGAATTTCAGAATTGCTGTGGACCAGAAACTGCCATGTGACTTGTTTCCTGCCTTTGTGAATAGGAAAGACTGCTGTGGTTACCCTTTTTGTGTTTCACTAGTGTAATCTAGGTGTCTGGGAGACAGCTAAACTCACAGGTCTCCAGTTCAAGAGCAGCGACAGACAAGGAGCCTCACTTGCAATTGGGCCTGATGCAGATCACGAGAGACTGGACTTCTAGACTGATACCATAATTGGATGAGACTTTGGGTGTCTTGGGATGGGGTAAATGTATTCTACTTGTGAAAAGCATGTGAATTGTTGTGACCAGAGGAAGCAACGTGGTATACTGCCTGTACATATGGCCAGGAATGATTGCTCCCATCCAGTTCTCCCATCAAGAAGTGGAGTCTTATTGCCCTTCCTCCCCACAAATCTGCACTAGCACTGCCTTGTTATAACCAATAGGATGTTATGGAAGTGATGATATATGACTTCTGGTCCTGGGCTTTGAGACTTGCAGTTTCTCTTTCTGCACTCTTGAGATCTAGCTGCCGGGTAAATAAGCTCGGGCTAGATTACTGAGTGAGGTGAGACCGCATGGAAAGACAGAGGTTGAACCAGCCCCCAACTATTTCAGCCACCCCAGTCAGAGCACCAGATGTGTGAATGAAGCCATCTCGGCTATTCCAGTTCCAGCTGAGCTCTCAGGTAAATGCAACCAAACGAATGACCCCAGCCTACAACAGCAAGTGGAACTGCCCAGATGAATTGTGAACCCACAGAATTGTGACAAACAATGATTCCTGTTTCAGATTTGGGGATGGTTTGTTATCCAGCACAGACTGACAAAGTTGTGTGTTGGTGAGCATCCAGAACTCATATATAGCTGGTCAAAGTGTAAATTAGTATAAGTGCTTGAAAAACGGGCATTATTTCCTAAAGTTGAACATATGCATACACTTGACCCAACAGAAAAACATGCACATGTGGACCAAATATATCCACAAGGATGTTCATAGCTGCTTTGGATAGCTCCAAACTGGGTACAACCCAAGCATCCATCAACGGTTGAATAGATAAATATATTGTCATATATTCATGCAATAGAATGCTACAGGTCAGTGAACAGGCTGCTGCTACACACAGTATGCATGAATCACACACCTAAGACATTAAACAAAGGAAGCTGGAAACAAAGTAAAACATTTTGCATGGTTTTTCCTTTTTTGCAGTAAGCGGGCCTCTCACTGTTGTGGCCTCTCCTGTTGCGGAGCACAGGCTCCGGACGTGCAGGCTCAGCAGCCATGGCTCACGGGCCCAGCCGCTCCATGGCATGTGGGATCTTCCCGGACCGGGGCACGAACCCGTGTCCCCTGCATTGGCAGGCGGACTCTCAACCACTGCGCCACCAGGGAAGCCCCTTGCATGGTTTTATTTATACAAAGTTCTACGCTCTAGTGGTTGAAGTCAGGATAGTGGTTACCTTTGGGGAGGAAAGAGAAGGTAATGACTAGAAGGGATATGAGAGGGGATTCTGGGGTGCTGGTATTGACCTAGGGGTGGGAGCCTGGGTGAGTTCACTTTGTAATTCATCGAGTATTACACTTATAACATGCATATTTTTCTACATCTTCTATTTTGATTAAGAAGTTTTAAAACAACATCAAATACTACTAAGTACCTAGAAAAAGTAAAAGTACAACTTTATAAGGATAGAAAACTTTACTGAAAAACAATTTTTAGAGACCTAAATCAATGGAGAGAAATGTTTAGAGATATGTATTAGAGATTCAGAAAAATGAAGAGACTAATTCTCTCAAACTGATCTACAGATTCAATGCAATCCCAAAAAAATCCCAAAGTGATATTGTATGTGTGTAACTTGAAAAGCTGATTCTAAAATATTTATGGAAATTTACAAGGCTAAAGTAGTCCAGACAGTCTGGAAGAGCAAGAGAGGGAGATGTGTTTCTAGATATCAAGACTTATTATAGGAGAGGAGGGATAAATTGGGAGTTTGGGATTAACATATACACATTAACTGAATCACTTTGCAATACACCTGAAACTAACACAGCTTTGTAGATCAACTGTACTTCAATAAAAACAAACAAAAAAACAAGGATATATTGTATAGCACAGGGAATTACAGCCATTACCTTGTAATAAATTTTAATGGAGTATAATCTGTAAAACTATTGAATCACTATGCTATATACATGAAACTAATAATATTGTAAATCAACTATACTTTAATAAACAATTAATGTAGAAAAACTTATTATAAAGCTGCACTAATAAGATGACATGGTATTAGCATGGGGACAAATAACTAATCAGGGGAGCAGAAGAGAAGGGTCCAAAATAGATAGACTCATGTATACATGGGCACTTCTTAGATTTCAAATCAAAGAGGAAGAGAGAAAATTTTCCATTTATAGAAAACAGAGTATCTATTTAAAAAAGAGAAAAGCAAGTGGACCACTTTCTCACACTGTACCACACGTACATCAATGTCTGGAGGCTTTTTACATATAAATTCAATTACACGTGGCTTGTGAGTGCCCAGAAGACAAAATTAAGAACAATGGATGAGGTCAGAGAGATGGATTTTGGCTCAGTCTAAGTGGGAAAACAATCACTTCAGCAGCATTAGCTGTCTTGGGAGGTTATGTCCATTACAGAAGATGTTAAAACACAATTGGATGACTGCTTCCACTGAAATTCTAGCTGAGATTCAAGCATCAGAAATGTCTAAGTTTCTAAGCAACCCTCTGTTGCTATAAATACCAAGAAGAGAGGGAACAATGTGAATTTCTTCAGCCTGGAGTAGCTGAAGAAATTTTATTGGCAAGTCAGAAGAATCTGAGAATAAGCCAAACGCTGGTGGTGCCTCTTCGCTTATTACACTTCAATGAGACAGAAGCACATTTTAAAAATGAATATCTCGGAAAGTCACGTACCATATTAGGAACAGTTTTAGAAATATTAAAGAAGGGCAGCATGACATGGTGAGCACCAAATTTGAATTCCTGCTCTGATCCCCCTAAATTGAAGCCTTAGGAACTTCACTGGTGGTCCAGTGGTTAAGACTCCATGCTTGCACTGCAGGGGGCATGGGTTGGATCCCTGGTCTGGGAACTAAGATCCCACATGCTGCACGGCCAAAAACAAACAAACAAAAAACCTCAACCTCCCCACCCCAAAATTAAAGCCTTACAAGTAATTTCATCTCTGAGCCTCAGTCTCCTCACGTGTGAAGCAAGGCAGTGATGTGTCCTGGCAAACTACAGTACAATAATGTTCAGATAAAAACCTCATGGCAATGTGGAAAATTAAATACCTCCCTCTGAATCAACATTAAATCAAAACAAATCCTTAGTTTCATAAGATGCCCAGCTGTTGTTATGTGAAATCTCTCCAAGAGCCAACATAAGGGATTTTTATTTAGCAACTTCTCAAAATTGGTATTATCCTCTGTGGTAAGGTATTACTGAGTTACAAAATGAGCAGAACATTACAGAAAGAATAGTTGCTATCTCTGCTGGTGGGCTTCAATATGTGAGTACAGTACATCATATACAGATATAAACATAGACACATACAAATTCCCACAGGATTACATTCATTCTCTTAAATGAATGTTACTTTATTGACTAGTTATTTGATCCAGGGAGAGACGGCATGCTGGCAATCACTACTTCTTTAAATGGAATGATTTCTTTTCATAGTCCAGCATTTAAAATCTCCCCAGGGACTTCCTTGGTGGCACAGTGGTTAAGAATCCGCCTGCCAATGCAGGGGACATGGGTTCGATCCCTGGTCCAGGAAGATCCCACATGCCGAGGAGCAGCTAAGCCCGTGCGCCACAACTACTGAGCCTGCACTCTAGAGCCTGCCAGGCATAACTACTGAAGCCCGTGCACCTACAGCCCATGCTCCGCAACAAGAGAAGCCACCACAATGAGAAGCCCGTGCACCACAACGAAAAGTAGCCTCCACTCACCACAACTAGAGAAAGCCCACATGCAGCAACGAAGACCTAACGCAGCCAAAAATTTTAAAAATAAAAATAAAATAATTTTAAAAAATTCTTTCAGCCTCTAAAAAATAAAACACAAAACTCTCCAAATAGTAGCTCCATAAGATATTAATAGGTATTTCCCAGAAAAGCAGCATCTGTGGTTAAATATGCCTGGAAATGATTGATTGAACAAAATTAAAACTTGTTTTGTAGGATGTTTTGCAAATTTAGTATATTGATGTTCAGTCAGTCTCCAAGAGAAGGAGGTAATATGTAGCATATCTCTTGTTCATTGTTAAAGGAGCCTATCATGAAGTGTATTAGTTGTCTAGTGTGGGTATCATGGTCGGTATCTAGTGCTGTGTAACAAACAGTCCCAAAACGTAGTTGCTTTAAAAAAGCATTTATTCTCTCATAGTCAGGGGTCAAGCATGGCTTAACTAGGTCCTCTTGTTCAGGGTCTCTCACAACCCAAGTGTCAGCTGGGGCTTTTGTCATCCCAAAGCTGAACTGGGGAAGGATCCACTTCCAAGCTCGGGTAGAGGGTTGTCACACGATTCAGTTCCTCACAGACTGAGGAGAAAGGGCCTCAGTTCCTTGCAGGCTGGAGGCTCCCCTCCCAGGTGGGCTTCTCCACAGCTTAGCAGCTGGCTTCCACCCAGGTAAGCAAGCGAGAGGGCAAGAGAGGGCAGGCAAGATGGAAGCTAGAGTCTAACAAAATCTCAGAAGTGATATACCATTGCTTTTTGATTCGTCAGAGCAGGGGTCAGCAAACATGGTCAGCAGGCCATATTTGGCCCAATGCCCATTTTTGTAAATAGTTTTATTGAAAGACAGCTAATCATATTTATTTACATATTGCCTGCGGTTGCTTTTCAGTACAACAGCGGAATTCAGTAATTGGGAAAGAAACCATATGGCTCACAGAGCAAAAAAAATTTCCTACCTGGCCCTTTACAGAAAAAGTTTGGCAAACCCTGCATTAGAAACAAGTCTAGCCTCCACTTGAGGGGAGGAGATTCAAAAGGGCATGAATACCAGGAAGCTGGGGTCGTTGGGAGTCATTTTAGAAGCTGCCTACCTTGTAGTGCCTGCCAACAGGTAGGGACTTGGCAAGTAGTTGCTGAGTGAATAAATGAATAATTGTTCACATCCACCAATTTTCTAAATTCAAGGGCTGAAAGAAAAGTTGCTAGCCAAGAAAAAGCCAAATTCCTTCACCGATTATTAGGATTTGACAACTGCATCACAACTGTAACAACTTATCAACTTGTGTGATCTTCTTATTAGTAATTTCCATCATTAATGTCAAGTGAGTTAGATGGCAAAATAAGCTTAGGATTGAATTCATATGTAGATCGGACAGATTATTCTTTCACAACATCAGCAAATTGGAAGAAAGCGTACGTATTTGAGATGAGAATTCACTCTGGGGGCAAGAATATTTATTGTGAATTATGTTTACAATCCGACAGCTACAGTATCTTCTAATACCAAGAGAGACTCAAAACCTAAATGTACAAAATCAAATTCTCATCCATTTTTTTCATCTTTTCTCCATGTGCTTTCTCCAAAAGCCAAAATACTGTACCACAAAATTCTTCCTTGATCATTTAGGATCTCTCTTGTTCTAGTACAAAGTAGCGAGTCATTCTTGGAAGAGGAAATGCCGTGCTGCTGCTGCTTTGCTTACAGCCTAGTTTTCCACTGAATTGAAACTCCAGTGTGGGTGACACAAACTGGAGAACTATTTCTTACCTCACTCTGTAAAACAAGGGCTCTAAATATTTCTAAAGTTTGGTGCAAAAAGGGAATAAAATAGGAGACCCCAATCTGTGGTTTTTCTCATGTTACTGGATCCAACAAACATATTAAGTAACTAAATCAAAGTGGGGAGGGGGACATGGAATAAAGGCTATATTTAACATCCTACATTTTTTTGAGTAGCTACTCTGACTGGCACAGTGCTAGTAAGTCTCTTTTCCATACACGAGCTCATTTATTTCTCACATTCATCCTGGGAGTTTGATTACAGATGAAAAGAACAGGGTAAAGAAAATATTCCAAGGTCACACAGGTAGTAACTGGTATCAAGTTTAAAGGTTATACTGGATTTTTCCTAACATGTGAGTGTAACTTGAATTGGATGTATGACTGGTATGGGTTAATTTGGAAATATACTTTCTATCCCATGACTTATTATTCTTTATAACTGACATATCAACGAGAAACTCAGCAATCCAC